GAATTTTCTCCATTATTATAAAAAATATAGGCTTGAATCGATATTAATTTGGTTGAGTTGAGGGCAGTCCGCCCGATTGATGAAACGGTGATTCCGCAACAGCTCCTCCATATCAACGTTGCAGCAACAGCACTTTTTTTAGATCGCCTAACAAGCGGCTTTAGAAAACTTTATTAATCATATTCTCAGATCGTCTAATTAAACTCTAAGAATATAAAAATAATACATTTAGCAATAAAAAATAATACAAAAATACTGGATTACAAAATTATATTGCGAAATAAAATAGCAATTCATCATAATAAATACCTACAAAAAAAGAGGAAGCTTATGAGCTAATTATAGTTCCCTAAAAAAAGGAAAAAACGATAAGAAAAAAATCTACTTCGTAAAATTTTAAAAAAATTTGGGACCCCAACCATTTGGATTTTAATTTGGTTAACGAAATTTGGTATTTTCGCTTGGCATATTTTAGCACGGATTTGCTCGCCTTCGAGGACACTTTTTTAAGTAAGTCCAATATTTCGTTCCGGAGGAGGTGATATATCACTAAGATTTTTCGATAATTCGGCTTGAAATGAGTCTGCCAAATCTTTTAGCTTGAGGTAGTTAGACTTTGGATTTTAGATTTTGAGATAGAAAGATTTTCGGGACCACATTTCCTGCGCGTTGTTAGTTTTATGAACCATAATATGTTCCAGAAAGATTGCTAATTTCATGATCGAGATATGAGCGACTTCACAGTGCGGGACTTTTCCGATAATCGGAGTTTTATCAATGCGATTGGTTTTCCGGAAGCTTAAGGCTAACAAAACTGCCAGAGATTTTTCTCTGCATGCGACGCAACGTTTTCTCCAATGTGAGAAGCATGTATTGGTAGCAAAAAATTAATGCAAAATGAAAAAGGCGTTCTCCACTAGCGCACCCCTACACCATATTTGCCAGCCACAGAGGCAGCATTGTGATTTATACATTCCAGTCTCCCTCGCTATGACCACGTCATCTTTGGAAGATTCCAATAAAGCATATGCATGGCCAAGATATCAAGTCCTTTTAGAAATGACAGTCAATACGCCATTTCGTCACGAATTATCATGATCTTCACAGTAATATGGCCAACCGATTGCCCAAGCCAGATAAATAATTGCTTGAGATCGGAAGAAAGATATAAATATTTGAAAATATAATAAATATGATATTTAGATAGAATGTGGACAATGATATGCCAACATCAACAAATATTCGGACATTTCACACTAACTCGGCCAAGAATAGTGCCTAAATTTTGATAGTGGAAATTTCAAAATTAAAAAAGTATGAAAATATGATATTGGTAATCGAAAATTCTTAAAAACGATAGTATTATTACTATTTAATTTAATAAAGGCTTAATTACAGTTTGAGCTCAAGTATGAGTGTGTGGGTGCCATTATTATTACTGTCGCCTTGTTCACAAGTTATCTTGGAATTTTCTTCGGGGAGCTACAATTCAAAAAAAATTAAAGATTCTGCTTAGCAGCAAACAGCTCAACGGCACGGCATAAAGAGCAGTCTAATACGATAATACTAAATCTTTTCAAGTGCTAATGACGAAAAATCATGTAACTCTAAAATCGTCAAAAATTTCGTCATCGTGGTCACCACTTTTCGATTCCTATTTATTTATTCATGAAAGATCAAGCAACGCATTATGCCATACACTTGTACCATAATAAGAAATGTTAATAATGATGATAATAATGATAAAGAGGGAAGAAAAAAATAAACATTTAAAGGTAAAATTAAAGAAAAAACAAAAGTCCAAAAATCGAAATATTTAATTTTAAACTACTTTATCGAGCTCCTGCACTCGCCAAATTTACTTTGCTTTGAGCGAGGTTGTCTTGTCGAGAGCGATTTCTCCAGAATCTCAGAATTTGCTGGAATAGAAGTTCATCGGTCGATTTCGAAACAAGCCACATACCACCTCGCCAAAAGCAATCATTTATTTGGTTAAGATATTCAACTGTCGGAAATAATCAGTCTATATTTCAATATCTTAAGTAAGCCTTCCCATTAAATGTCGTTCATGAAAATTAAGAAGGTTCATTTTCAGTTACCTAGGATCATCTCGATGAGCCGCGTTCAAAATTCCTTAATTATCCCTGTCGCCATCCATCATAAGGTTTAATAATTATATCTGGCAAAATCCTGTGGTGATGGGACGAAGAACATAGCCAAACCAGCGCAGACGACGCTTTGTGGCGAATTTATTCTTAATAAATAGAGTTGCAGTGATTCCCTTAAAACGCTTGCTCGCTTCGAAATTAGATGCAGTAACATCTATTTTTATCTTTTAATATCTTTTAATATTTTGACGAGTTTTAACTCATTGTGATGGTAGCAAAAAAAGAGCTGTTGATCTTGCACTATAAATGCTTTTAAAAAATTCCTGAACTATCATAAAATAATCTGAGAGAATTCTGCATAAAGTAATTGCATATTCGATTTTTTCTGTCCATTTTATCTTAAGATTGAATCCATCATGACAAGTAATAAATCCAAAAGTACCACAGTCATTGCTTTTCAGAGACATCTGCATTTCATAAAATCAAATTAGGCGCCTCTATACAATATTTCAATTCATTGTTAGGTATTTTTACCAAATTTTGCAGCTCTTCCTTATAATCCTTGTAATCCATAAGCTTAAGGCAAATAAAACTCCTGGAGAAGCTGGTCTTCGAGCCGAATTCTTCAAATATTATCTATCATCATTCATAACTCACTTTCAACAAATGTAATCTCTGGTATGGAAAAAAGAAAAACCAGCAGATGACTGGAATAAAGCAAATGGGCTTCCAATTCCCAAGAAAGATGATAGGACATGCTATGATAATTGTCGAGGAATCAGTCTATTAAACCATCGCCTTTTCGCTTCCATTATGATAAATAAACTCATGGCAATACGAGATAGCAGTCGCCTTAACAAGCTGAATTAAGAGCGGGATGACCAGATATTCACGCTAAGAAGGGCTATAACATCATTTTAAATTTAAATAAGAACACCATGTTTCATGGACTTTGCAAGTGCCTTCGATTGAATTGATAGAATGGCACCGCTCTGGAAATGATGGAATGCGATGGCGTTCCAGAGAAGATCATTCGACTTAAAAAGGCATTTTATAAACGTATGTCGGCGCAGGTCTGTATATATGGAGAACTCCTTAGACTCTTTCGAAATAAGAACTGCCTGTTAAGGTTATGTCCTTTCTCCTACAATATTTAATTGCGATAGACAGGGTAATGGACGCTGCTTGTCGGAACTCGAGGTGTCCAAATCAGTCCAGAGTATAGTGTCACGGATCTTGAATACGCTAATGATGTAGTCCTTCTTGCTAACAGCTATGACGAAATGCAAGCAATGCTAAACAACATGTCAGCAACTGCGGCAAGAATCGGACTCAGAATCTATATAAACAAAAGAAAGTCTTTTCATCTTAAAAAAAAGCTGAAAAATGCCTCTTTTTATAAATTCATTGATGGTTGAGGAAGTACCAGATTTTACATATCTTGGATCCACTCTAATCCAAAATTACCAAATAAGAGACGAAATCATCCGGGATAACAGTAGCTAAATGAAAATATGTTCTTTTGGTTGGCAAATCCTTTAAGCAACATGAAATCACCACAAAAACAAAAGGCCGCACTGTGAGACATGGCTGATGAGAGTGGAGGATATTAAGAAGTTTTGGATATTGGATTTTATGGATCCGTCGAACGGATAAAATCGCACATGATTGTACCCATCCTCGCTCAAATACCACCTATATTAACAACGTTACATAGCGTTGCTTTCGCTGGTAAGGGTTCTCCGTCGTCCACCACGTGAGTTAACGCATATTTTATTATTTGCTAAACCTTATGATGGTTGGCCAAAAGTGAGGAGGGCCAGTCAAGACCTGGACTGATACAACCAGGAAAGATTCTGAATATATAGGGAGACCAGCGATATAGATTTAGACAGTAGAAAAGGAATGGCTTTTATTACTGTTGGCGATAGCATCGATCCGAAGAGCTTGAAGATATCGTACCCTTGTAGCGGGCGAAGCCAGCCTAACCAATAATGGTGAGAGCTATTAGAAGAATAGGAAGAGAAGACGGTTAAATGGTACGCTACTTCGATAGATGAAAAAACACCATCGTTTTAGTCACTGCCTCCTAAGGCTTAAATGTGAAGTCGACGAATACTGGCGATCCATATGTATTTGCTTAAGGGACCCTGGCGCAAGTTTCACTCTAATAGTTATACTGGAAAAGCGAAAAGAAGCAGTAGAATTAACATAAAAAGTTCAGAATTCATTGAGTTTATGAATTTTATTTGTTGCGAATAATAACGAAACAACCTCTTTTCCAAGAATAAAAAGCAAATTTTTTAAACATCTATGGTCATGTTTCAACTAAAATCATGAAAAAATTTGTGCTACAGCTAAATAAAAACGCTTCTAAGAAAAAACTATCGCTTCCTCTTTTGCAAAAAAGAAAAAAATAAAAATATCGAAATAAAATATTGAAAAAAGATTTAAGATAACAAGGATTGGCTTTACAAATCTTTTAATAAACCATGATAAATCCAATTTCCTCTTGATAAGAGATGGTAAACATTGCCGATTCATCTGTGCTTCTATGGCCAAGAGACTTTCTGGCATATTTGTCTAATGCAACAGGCCAGTGAAACCAGTCTAATCAGTAATAGTGCTCTTAAAAAAAGTGAATTTTTCATTGAAAGCGAGAAGCGGACCTCTTCTCTCTTATACTTCTTTTCACAAATAACTCATTGATGAAGGAATCTTGTTCTAACTGAAATCAATCAAACCAAAAATGGCGATGAATTGGATTCCTTTTGACATATTACGTTTGAAGAAGCGTACCAATAAACAATATTTTAAGATGATTTAACTTCAATAATTAAAAATAAGGCAGAAATAATAATTTTCAAAGATAAAAATGCTTAACACTGTTTATCACTGTTTAGGACACATTCTTAATCTGACACAAGCTTCTCTTGGTTTCACATTATTTTCGATAAATTCGATGATTTTATCAAGTGCTTCAACCAAAAATTTGCAGACTAACGAATTATTTTCGCGTTGTTGGCATCGATAGAGAATTATCTAAAATCCAGTTTTATAATGAAACATAGCTGAGAAACAAATTTGAATGGATTCAGATCTACCTAAAATTTTAAAAAATCCTAAATTACTTTGGGATGAGTGGATGAACTAATACGATCGTTGTAAAGATCGGACGCATACTAGTTGAAAATTTATATTCCAGATTTCAACGATTTAGAAGCATTAGGATTTTATGATAATTTTAAATCAGATTAAAGGCGAATAAAAGAGAAAAAATACCTCTTCAATCGTCTCTTTACTCATTTTAGTAAATTCTTCAAGACCGTTTATGATTTGTCTGCACAATAAGCAATATTTGCCAGTTGTAATTTCCAATGGTACTGCAATCGCTGCACCGAACAGCAAGCAAAAAATAATAAATGCACGCATCCTAATTTTTTTTCTTTAAAAAAATTTAAGTCCAAATTTATATTTCATACGATATTTAAGAAAGAAATAATTCATTTTTTACAGTCTTTATTTTGTTCTTATGGCACATTTTAGCGACTCTTCTGTTAAAAAACCTTATTTCCTGAATTTTTTCCGAAACTTTACAGTACCCTCTTAGATTTTAAAATTTTTAAATTTTTTTTTTAAATTATTTCGGAACTTAAGTTAAATCTGAAAATTTTGAAAAAAATTAGGATCGCCAAAAAAATTTAAAATTATTCCTTTTAAAATTGAAGTCTATATTCTTAAAATTTTTAAATTTATTCTCATTTCCAAAGTCATTATCATTAAGATTGTTAACAGTTCGATATCATTGATGATTAATTTTTTGAATCAGTTTATTCAAAGTCTCTATGCAATTCATGGAATTTCGGAAAATCTATGCAAATTCAGATTTCCGAATTTCAGCGAAATTTCCGCAAAAAGTAAACCAGCTAAACCACTTTTCGTTTCTTCAAATTTTAAAATTTAAAATCAGAAAATAAAAAATCGCTAAAATGGAAGAGGCAATAAATTACATACACTGTATATTACAATTTTTGACAATTTTATAAGATCAAATGAAGCATAAATTTGCTAAAAAGATTAATTTTTATTCGCCAATCGTATTTACCGCACCTTATCAATTATTAATTTTCGATAATGTTAATCGATGGCCTAAATTGCTTTTGTAGATCACTTGCAGCATTTTAATCAATCTGCCACGGGCAGTCGGTACCACCGAACCTGCGTTATTTCGATTATCACCTTGAAACACCGTGATCCTTTCTGCTGCAGAAGGCCTATCATTAAAAAAATTATTAGGGTGATAGTGAGCATCCATGCCTATAATCCGATCCTCCGAGTAAAAAATTCCTCCTACCTCAGTTCGAATTCGCATTATAGTTAACCCACCTTATTTCTTAATGACGATCAGTTAAACAAGCCAAACCTAGATGGTAAAAAAAAATTATCGACATACCCTGCATACACGATATGATAAAAAAATTTACTAATTCCTGCAAAACTCAAACAAATTAATATTCTATTTCTGAAAAACTATTCTCTTATCAGCAATCCCATTTTCCATTAATTCCCAGCCTTCTTGATGTTTGATTTTTATACCTTATGCAAACACCATAAAAGCCACATTTTAATAATCATTTACCGCATTTTACTCGTTTAAGGAGACATTACCACGAAGTTTTTCTCCGAACTTTGCTCTATTTCCGCGAGTTTTAGAAAAAAATGATTACACCAGTAATTCTTCAAGTCTTCCAAGATTCCTCCCATCCTCACTTCGAACCTAATTCAAACCCTTTATTTTTAATACTCGACATGATTCTCCCTTCAGATAAACGACTTTTTGATTTTGATCCAATCTGCCTAATTTATAACCGATCAATTTTATCGTATTTTCAACCTAGCATTTTCGTTAACATTAAATTATAATTCGCGAGGAACAGCATTATTGCCTTTTTCAAATGTCGAGACAGAATATCGCACCACAACTTCTAATAGCATTCTCCGCTTGGTTGGTTGCATGACCCACAGAGACCCTCATTAGCGCATGGATAAAATACCAAGACTCAACCGATGGTTTTTTATTTTTCTTTATCCTCGTCAAAGTTAACTGCAACAAGCTGGAAAAATAAATAGAAATGCATTTATCCGCGGCAGCGACAACAAACCCAACCATTCAAAATCCATATTCCTTCAACCATAAATATGTCAGCCTACTGCATCATTCAAAAAATTCGATATGAAAATAAAGCAATCTATGAAGTATGTTTTAAAAAAAAAATTTCGCTTAAACCATATTAAATAAGAGCCAATCGATGGCCATAAATATTCACGAAATAAAGGCAATTATTACGATTTACATGACTGGTTAACAAGAACATAGCCTAGAAGCTCAACATCATCTCTTAGTCGGCAAAACATAAAGATGCACAAAACTTATTCCAATTCGGTTTTAGTTTCAACAATGTTTCTTCTTTTAGAAAATTTTTTTTCTAGAAAATGAAAATTCTTAAATACATATTCTTAGTTGGAAACTCAAAAGCAAAATCGCTTCAGGCATTTATATAAGAGTTAAAAAGAGCCATTTTCTGAATTCTGGTATTAATGAAAATCTATTAGTTCTTTTTTCAAGAAATTTCAGTAGTATAAAGAAAATTTAGGTAGATAGAAAACTTATTGCGAATATGTATCTGCAAACAAGATACAATTGATAAATCAAAATATAGTCAATTTTAAGAAAAGAAAAATTCTACTTAATATCCAATTTCAATGACTTTAAAGGAAAGATAAATGAAACAAAACTATTGAAAGCAGATACAATTATTCATGGCTTGGAATATTTCACAACAAAATTGGACAAATTTCGAAAATCTTCCATGTATATTTGAAATTATTCTGATTGAGGAATCTAAAATTTGCACCAGTGGATAATGGATTTGAAAAATGTTGGAAAGGAAAATAACAGCCAACGCTGATCAAACGAATGAATTATATACTTGAAGAGGAATTATGTACTGCCTCGAATACAACAACGACTAAAGACGAAACAATCACATCACGAATGTACAACAGCCAAGAAAAATCGTTAAATTTCCCAAAATCAAAAAAATCGAAAACTGCTATCGCAACAAAGGCTACTCATTGCCATTACGCATTACCCGCTTGACCTCTGCTTGAAGCCCGTTCCTGACCAGCAGAGGCTTTTGATGCTAAAAAAATGTTATAAAAAAATATGTATTCCACTAAAAATTGAATTAATGTTGATTGGTAACCAAGGAAATCGATTAAAATCAATCAACCTCGAATAACAGAAGTATTTTGGCCATTCATGACTCGACTATTAAACTCATTGATAAGATGTAACAATCGGTTTTGCACAGAATTTGAGCCCTGAAAATTGCCCAGAATCCGAACTGTTGCAGTTTCTTTCGTTTCGTCGCCACCGTCATCAGGTATCTTCACCTGTGCACCTGTCAGACGTTGCAATTCTCGAACCTGAGATAAAATGGAAAAATATATATTCATTTAAAGTGAAATAAATTTTGCCATAAATCTAAAAAATGAACAACATACAAGGGTAGGGGGAAAAACGCATATGCGCCACCAAACTATGAAATCTTACTATGAAACCCACTATAGAATACGAAATTCTTTCATAATCAATTGAACTAGATTTCTTTCGTGAAAAGCTGCTCAATCCTTGTTGCAATCATATAACATCTTAAATCCTCTCCAAAAATTTTTCTTCCCCTATGCCTTTAATGACCCTCTTTGCTGTTATGTTCCTTCCCTCTTCTCCGTCGCTATGCACTTCTGTAACAGCCGCATTTAATGTAAAGTAAAAATGATATACACTAGTGTGGGCATAAAAACACGTAATAGAATTTTAGGACCATTCAAGGGTTTAAAGAGAAAACGAGATATATTGAGACATCCTGGGACATATTAAGTTAAACAGCTTTATCACTAGTCAAAATGTAATACATTTTGTCCTCCTTTGCCTATGATACGTCCAACTACTCTGGAAGGTACTTCAATTTCAGTACATAACCGAATTTCATCCAGATATCGGTAATTCTGTTCAGATACACGCTGGTAAATCCAAAACTGAGTCTGAAAATTAAGAAAAAAATATTAAAAAATACATATTAAAAAAGAAAATGTAGAAAGTAAAAAATGTGAAATGCAAAAATTATCTCTTAAACCGACCTTATGCTGTTGCATTTCATTCCCAACAATAGTGACAAGTCGTTCATGCGCATGTAAACCACCATCCCTTTCCGACTGCTTACACGAAATGATCTAAAAAATATATTTTCAGCATACAAAATATAATAAACCTTAAAGAGCATTCATCAATTAAGAAAGACTTGTAAATTACCTTCCCATCTCCTTCTTCTTCAATCTTTCTTTCTTCGGAACCCTCACTAATTTTAATAGTGTCGCCTGTAGTTGAAATTTCACTCTTTTTTTCATCACTATTATTACCATCACTCGAGTGTTGCTTCTTAAAGCAAATTTAATGATAAATAAATTCAAATTTGTTAAAATTTAACAATGTTGCAAAATCAATAATAATAATAAATCAATAGATAATAAATGAGCTAAACAATATTATTATACATTCTAAATCGAGAATTTTAGACGGGTTCGAAATCCTGGGGATCAGCAGAAATTTGGAAAGAGACTGTAGACCTCAAGGAGTCGATTAGTCGATAGATCAACAGGTAAAATAATATTAATTTCAACCCAATATGCATACAAAAAAATTTACTCGCATATAAAATTTTTCTTGAAGATCCCGTAAACTTTTTTCATAAGGTTGAGGTCGATGAAAAAAAATATTTCTCCTACATACAATCGATGAGGAAAATATTTCTTTTGTAGGGTTGGGTAGGGTTTTTAGGGTTTTGTAGGGTTGATACAAGAAAAAGGTTGGCAATTTCAGTCTTAAATTAGAATTTCAAAAAAATTTTACTTCATCCGATTTTCCATTATTTTTTTCTGCCCTCTCTCCACTCGTTCCTCTCCCGCCTTCAATGCTTATATGTACACCTGTCATACGCATCATGTTACGAATATGAACGCCCTACAATTTATTTTGTATGAAAAAATTTGACGAATATGTAGGCTCCATTCTTACGAGACAGAGACAACCTAATTTTATGACGGACCATTCGCTATTTAAAAAATATGCCGAAAAAAATAAATAACCTTGGCACCAATAAGAGCCCCAACCATATTATTTGGAACCCACATGCGCACTGTTCTTTGCGAAAATGTAGATAAATGAGGATTTTGAAAATGATTAAGGTGGGATGGCGATGCTGCAAGGCCCAAATTGAGATAGGTACTAGGATCATTTCCTATAGGCGCCATCAAAGGCAACGTATTCGAAGAATGCAAAAACTGAAACAAAATTTTTAACAAAATATTTTTTTGAAAAATTTATGGTTGTAAGATGTATTATACCTTCCCTTCAAAAAACCAGACTTCTCAAACTTTCTATAACGAAAATCTGAAACATACTCGACTACCCACATCCATTTCATAACTCTGGCGCAATTTCTGACTGATTTTTTGTTCCGCAGCTGAAGCAGTATCAATATCAGAGGCTTTAATTGTCACTGTTCGTTCCATATGCGACATAACTTCAGGTGAATATAAACTAGATGGTCCGCCAAACTGAGGCAACAAACCAACCATTTCACGCGATAATGTTTGCTCACTTAACAAAAAACAGTATTACTTCATTGTAAAAAAACAATTAAGCTGGAAGTGTGGTGCATGGAATGCAATAATATAAGCACTAAAATTAGTTTTATTTTCATTTATTCCTCAATGAAACAAAAGCTAAATTGTTAAATTGTTTGCATTGTCTAATAGACTAGAAAAAAACGAGTAAAGAATCACATCTATACGAGGAATTAGAGAAAAAATTTCAACCAACTTAGATACGAAAACTACGGCTCCTGTATCTTCCATTATTTTTTTAATGGTTGCGCCATTTCTACCAATCAGTCTTCCGACCAACTGATTGTGAACACGAAGTTTTAACTCGATTTCAGATCTTAATACCAAATATTTATAAACCTCGAGAATGAAGAAATTCTGAAAAGCAAAACTATGGAAATAAAAAGTACCGTTGATTTGTTGAAGTATCTTTCTCTTTTTCTTTTCGTACCACCTCCAATATTTTTACACAAGCTTTAGAACAATTTTCTGGTTGACCCGTAATTGAGATGACCTTAAATTAAAATTAAAAAAAAATTATTTCGCGTAAACCATCCACCATCCACGCAAAGGGATGTTTTTTATTTTAGTGGAAATATTTTTTTACTTTGATCTAAACCAGTGGATTTTAAAAATTATTTTTACAATATTTACTGGGAAAAAAACGAGTTAAAACTACAAACCTTTTCGGTATTACCAACATTATCTCGAAGAGTTCTATTAACATCAACAACGCATCGAGCTTTTGATTCTTTAGTTATTTCCCGTATATTCGACCCACCTTGCCCAATTATTGCACCAACATATTTCGCATCCACCATCATAAGTAGTGGCATATCCTTAACCATTTGATAACCATTTAATACTTCATTTGAAAAAAAAAATACTTTTTGTTCTTTAGCAACAGGAATAAATAGGGTTGTAACGAAAGGAAAATTTTATCCTTTGGTTGCAACCTGTAAAAAATATCAGACAGAAGCCTATAGGAAATAACGAAGGAGAGAAGATTTTGTTAGTTTCAATACAACTTAGAACGAACAAATTATCAAAAAAAAATTTAAACTTTTATTGAACTTGAAATCAACACTATGCAGTTTTTGGGTTCTATGGTTATGGTTATAGCGGTATTTCCTGCACTACTGAATAGTCCTTCACATGGGACACTTTCATGTGAGTCGCTAAAGATATTCGAACTACCCTGGCTAACACTAGATATTGTCGTTTTGGTTCTATCAACTTAATAGATTCTTCCTTCGTTTAATAACTTGGCTTATTTTCGATTGCGACCAATTTGTTATGAAATCCACGCAGTTTTTGCTACTCACTTCATCAACAAAGATATTGAATCCTGCACCGAATCATGCCGTTTTTTGTTTTCATATAACCATTAAACCTTTTATAAATCAGCAGATATCCAAAACAGATATTATCCAAAACATTCACAGTATAGCATGAAACATTTGAATGTAAACAACGATTTTTAAAATTCCAAGGTACCAGATCGTATTGAAAGAGAATTTTTTTCTAGTTGATTAAATATAAATATAAACCAGGCACTTTCGACATTCACTAAGATTTTTGGATAATCTATGCAATGCCTGAACTATAATTGCCAAAAAGAAGTATTCGAATTCTCACCGCTCACGTAAAGGGATTCAGTTTGACATTTCATGCCACAACAGTTGGGAAACTTTTACTAAATATTCATTCTTTTCTGGGTTTCTGTTCTCAGCAAAAGATTGCTGGCAAAGATTAAGTATAACTGGATGATGGGAAGTTAATTAAAAAATCACCGTTTCTTCTTCTAACTGATCATACCATCACTGGTTAGGCTGGCTCCAATGGCTACAAGGATAAGATGCTTCCAAGCGGTACGGTTTGATACCATATTCGACAGTAAAAGAAGCCACTCCTTTTTCAACGACTAAGTCCATATATTGCTGGTCCACCTATACATTCAAAATTTCTCCTGATTGTATCAGTCCAGATCATGATTGGTCCACCTCGCTTTTGACGCCATCCGACGCAGGATTTAGCAAATAACGAAATATGTCAACTCTTATGATGGGAGACGAAGATCGGTTTCTAACCAGCGAAGACGACGCTCTGCGATAACATTATTAATGCATTTTGTATTTGAACGAAGGTGAATGCGATCATATGATATTTCATCCATTCGGCAATCCCATGAAATGTACCTTAAAATAAGTGGTCAAAGGTAGATAACTTTTTAACATCCTCCATTCTCATTGGCCATGTCTCTCAGCCATATAGCAAGATTGAACGAACCGCGATTATATGGATGCAGATTCTTTTTATAGTGATTTCACAATGGCTCCATAAAGGTTTAGTCAACCGGAAGAATGCATTTCTCGCTGCCATAATCCAGGTTGTAATATCGTTTTTTACCTGGCCATTCCACGTTAGAGTTGATCCAAGATATTTAAAATCAAGTACTTCCTCAACCGGCAATGAATTTATAAAAACAGGCATTTTTTCAGTTTCCGATATTTATATTTCTGTTCCATAAAAATCCGTGATACATAACGTGATATACAATGTTTTACACATTTTAAGGGGAAACATTTTTTTTATATTTCCAATCATTTCATTCATAAATATCTATAATAACACGAACCTGAGACACTATCCGTTGATGTGAAGCAATAGTGGTTGGAAGAGGTGCGGATATTACTGAATGGTGATTGTTAGCATTTCCAGCCAACTGGTGGCTAATACTACTAGAAGCAACTCCACCTTGATGAACAGAGCTACCACGGTTCATTCCACCATTGGCGCCAATCATATTTCCACCTCTCCGAGGAGGAGCGTTTGTGTAATCTATAAAATTCCACTAAAATTGGAAAAAAGCTAGTTTATTTGTAGCATTTGTATAATATGCATGTATACCCAATCGGGTCTACGAGAAAAAAAGATTCAAAAAAATGGTATAATGAAGTATAAATGATAAATATTACAAGCACTATAAGCAATAAAGCAATGAAAATTTAAAAAAAATGGAATATAACGCAAACTTTTTCAGCAAATCGACGAAAAAAAAACTTACTATTACTTACGACTGATCGAGGATATGGATTAGCTGTGGGCGCATAAGTTATTGGGTGGGATTGAGAATTAGGTTGATATGCTCCTGCAAAATAAAAATACAGCGAAAAAATCTTCGGCAATGCCTAACAATAAAAATAAAACAAGAAAATGATTTAAAAAAAAAATATTTTATAAATATATTAAAATATATTATGTATATAATATAATATATAAAATTTATAAATATACAAAATCACCGCAAATTTCCTACGTCTAGGCATTTTCTTTTGTTTTCCATTTAATAGAATAACTGGAAAAACTATAACGAAGAATCTTATTAAAAAACGACAGACTTATAGAATTAGAAACCTCTAATATAGTGGAAAAAGAAAACAAACCAGCCAGATACCCAGGCTGACTTTGATAAACATTATATGCAGGTGCACTATAAATATGCTGGGACTGTTGGTGCTGTTGCTGTGGTTGCGAAACTGCTTGAGTTGATCTTGTTGCGAATTGATGCTCCATATAACTACTATTAATATTAAATATACAGAATTTATTATCGCACAATCTGCGCAGAGACACGCAAAGGCACCTATTGCGTTTTAACAAATAACCTTTTTTCCCTGAAAGGCATACAAATTGATATTGTTTTCGAAAATCAAACCACAAATTTTAAGTGCTTTTACCAACAAAAAAATGAGCAAAAGGATTTACAGAAGACGCAAATTTTATCTCGTAAGCTTTACTACATAATCAGTTGACAATATCAATTAAAATTATCAATCACCGATAGTAAATCATTCTTATTAAAATAAAGACGGTAATTTGATAAGCAGAAGATGATCAAAGAGCTTTTCCATAAATATGGCACATTATTCATGAAATTTCGAAAAATTTACCTAAAGAAAGCTATGAATTTAAAGTTCACTAGTGAAATAGAGAATAAAAAATACTATTCAAAAATTATTAATGAAAAGTTTCAAATCGAAAAAAAGTTTAAATAAATTAGAAAAGTAGGGAAAGTTGAAAAAACTCCTAAACACAAATTTTAAAGTCGAATTTATCGACAAAAATTAAGTGCATAAAATTAAACCATTTAAACGATTTTTGGAAACGATCAACCACTCAATATTTATAAAAAATTCAATTATTAAAGAAATATGGAAAACAAAGGAAAAAACTCTAAATTTCGTGAAAAAATGGACAGATAACGAAAAAAAGTAGCGAACTGAGTGCTTATATGACGAAGTGAGTTAAGCGGTATTCTCTTACTCCCTTTTCCCTTTGCCTTGCCATCTTCTTATCACTTCCAGACTGATTTTATTTATTTATCAATTTCTAACATAGCCACTGACGGATCGTTTTTTGCATTGCTTTTGCATTGTTCAAAGTGATATAAATAAATATACGAATATCTATTTATTTATTTGTACAAAATGAATAAAAATAAATGAAACTAAACAAGCAAACAAATGAATTCTAAAATTCTTTTAATTTATAATTCATAAAATTTTTTAAAAAATATTTCTTCAATGGAACCAAAATTAATTTTTCTCAAAAAACTAGAAATTAAATAAAAATTAACATTTTAAATGAAAAAGAGTGAAAAAACCATTTAAAATAAGCATTGGAAAAAAAGAAATGGACTATAAGACGGAAATAGCGAATGCCCACAGAATAAAGGACAACCGCAACGCTTAGACGCTTTCGCATCTCAATTGCTACTACGCTGCTAAATGCTGACCGTCGACTTCTTTATATTTTTCGTCCTCACTGAAAACAATTGGCAATTAGCCAACTTAACCTCTTCAATATAGATTAACTTCCAACTTGACCTTCTCTTATTAATCAATAATTACTACTTTGTAACTTATTAATCAATAATTAGTTTTTCTCTCATCTAATATCACTTACTATTGCTCGGCTTATTATTATTATTATGTTGCCATATTCCCTCGTCATTTGAGAAGAGAAAAAATGAATATCTAATGTAATTTCAATAACAGATTTACTCCCAGCGAAACAGAAATAGAAAGTGCGGAAGACGACTTCAGTCGACGCACCTTATTACTCGATCGTCTCGATCTCAATTAACTGTTTAATTAAAACAGACAATAATTAAAATTAAAAGAAGAAAATGCAATGCAGTAAAACTTATCTTCATAAATCCAATAATTAAAAATATAAAAAAAATGCAATATTATGTGAAGCAATAATATGAAATGAAAAAATAAATTTATAGAAAAAAATATTAAACAGTTAAAGAAATGTAATAAACCTTACTGAAAATGTGAATTTGGAATTAAATGAAAAAATGAAACATTAAAAAATAATTAATTTCGAAATTCCATTTCCCACCCTTTTTATAGTTAACGCTTTATAAATCTCTTTATGTGGTACTTATCAATTGCCCGATTGGACATTACAAGTCCTAAGTTTCTTCTCTCGACATTTACTACCGTATTATTTCTTTATCAGCGAGAGAATTCGAATACTAATAATCAACCAACTTCAATTAAATGGATAAGATTACCAAAATTAGTTGGAAACGATGTATCTCGTTAGGCGATACAATTACAATTATAATTACAAAAAATTAATTGGGAATAGAATGGCTCAGTGGATTGTCGCTCAATTTAGAGCACCCGAAGCTGCGGTTCGATTCCCCGCAGCAGCAGACCTGTGCAAAAATCGAGGTGATGCTGGCGACTCACCTGTATTTCTATCGCCCAGGGACTCCCTAGCTTATTGCCCAATGCGACAAGCCAGTGGAGCGAGTCTAAGCAGCAATGGT